GAAGGATGATATATCTGACTGTTACTCGACCTGCTATTGTCTATGTTGTTCATATCGTCAATTAGTTTATGTCCGCTCCTCGAACGACTCATTATTATGTTGTTCTACGGATTCTTCGGTATGTCAAAGACACTTTTCTCCATGGTCTCTATTATTCAGCTCGCTCGTCCTTGGTTTTAACTGAGTACTCTGATGCAAATTGGACAGGAGATCCCACCTATCATCGTTCGAATACTGGCTTTTGCTTCTTTCTTGGTGATTCGCTTATTTCTTGGCGCAACAAAAAATAGACGGTCGTCTCCCGATCCAGTGTAGAGTCCGAGTATAGAGCTCTTGCCGATACCACTGCCGAGCTTCTATGGCTTCAATGGTTACTGGTTGATCTCGGTGTATCTCAGTCCTCTGCTACTACTATTCATTGTGACAATTAGAGTGCCATGAAGATTTCGACGAATGATGTTTTTCACGAGTGTACGGAACACATTAAGATCAACTGTCACCTTGTACGTCATCACATTGCTAACGGCAACGATTCCTTGTGTCCCATTTCTTTTGCTGATCAGACTGCTAATGGTTTCACCAAGCTTCATTTACCCAGCTGCTTTCAGTTGTTCTTGAACAAACTCAAGCTGATTTTCACACTCTCACCTTGAGTTTGAGGGGATGTTGATATAATATATATATTGTATATATATTTATGTAAATGGTCCGACCCAATATTAATTGTATATATATGACGATGTAACCCTAATTGTATTTTTGATAAATCATATTATTCTGTTAATTCCAACACGGGTCAACACGAACCCGACACGATAATAAACGAGTCAACACGAATCCAACATGATAATAAACGGGTCGAATTAGGATTGAATTATTTAACCCGTTTAAAATATTCAACCCGACACGAATCGACTCATTGTCAGCTCTGCAATGGAGTCTATAAGCCAAATAAATATGGCTTTGTTTGTTTAGTATTATGATTTGAATTTTTTTTATATAAAATATAAAAAATTGTGTCGATAATATAAAAATAATATTTTATTTTAAATTTTCTTTTATAAAAAAAAATAAAATAAATATATATTAGAAAAACCCTCGAAAAGAAAAATTGGGCAAACAAATCCATAAGTATTATACATATTATAATTGTATTATATCTTTAATAATTCTCCATCCAATATTAAACTATCTATTACGTCATTTGAATGTGTTTTAAATAAATTTATTTGTTTTTCTTTTTTTTGTTTTTTTTTTTGTTTTTTGTTTTTATTACGTGGATACTTAATGGAGTACATAATCTATACAAATGTTTACAACTTACATATTATTATAAAAATATTATATTATTTTTTAGTTAATATATTTTTTTATAGGTAAATTGAATCTCGTGTTTTTTTTTTTTACTACATAAATACAAGTCAAGTGGAAAGTAATTCCGATTTATTATTTTTTATTTTTTCTTTATAATATATATTTTCAAAAATATTAATATTTTTTATTTTTTATTTTTTCTTTATAATACATATTTTCAAAAATATTAATATATTACACATATTTATATTTATATTTATATTTTTTCTATACAATTTTTTATACTTCATATAAAAAAATTTCTGAGAAAACTATTTTCACAGAACAAACACACCTTTCATTTCTGTTTTTTAGTGAATTAATAAATAATATTATCTCCGACTCTAAGGATCATATTTATTTTTTGAGTGTTCATTTTTTAATATTAATTATCATATCAAAACGTAGTAGAAAATGACAAAAATAGTTATATTAATGTCTTATAACAATAATAATAATAATAATAATAATAATAATAGATCGTTTGTATAAAAAAAAATATACAAATATAAAAATATTTTTAATATTAAATATAATAACTTAAAAAGTAAATGTAACATGCAGATGGAGAGAGTAGTATTTTATTGGTTGATGTATATAAAATAATTTTGACACTTTTATCTTTAAAAATACAAAGAAAAAATATATTTTTGTAAAAAATAAAAATATTTTGGTATTTATATTAATTACCTTTAGTATAATAAAAAATAAATATCACGATATATCAATTTACTTTTAATATTGTTAAAATAACTATGAATTGACCTGCCTAACACACCATCACCGATGGGTTGAATTTTTATTTATTTATTTACGGAATATGATGGATTGTTAAGTAATTGCTCCCTACCGTTTTGACAATAAAAAATATAGATAGATATGGGTGAATATATGTATTACTCCATCTGTCCCATATAATTAATCTCTATTTTCTATTTTCGTCCGTCCTACGTAACTTGTCTTTTCTATTTTTGAAAATATAATTATGCACTTTAATCGCATTTTAAATTTTAAATTTTATAATTTTCTTAATTTTAATTAAACTATTTGCTTATCTTAATCTTAATCTATAATTATTTTTACTAATACACTTTTTAATTACTTATTAATTATATTTTACCTAAATTCCCGTGTCTACAGTAATACACCCATATTACATGGGACAGAAGGAGTAATATAATCATATAAGTATGTGTATGTATAAAGACAACTCAAATTCTATAATGACATTTTTACGGTTTTGTATTTTTTTTTATCTTTGGATTAAAAAAAAATAAAATGTACAACTATTTTTAAAATATTTATTTTATTAAATATTATATCAATATTATTATATTTTTTTAATTAAAAGTAGTTTAAATTGATAAAATAATAAAAGCAAACTCTCAGTTTATTAATAAACTCACGATTGATGGCCAATTTTTTTCTTCTTCTCAACTTATCATTGCAACTGTGCAAGGCTAGCGACTGACGGCCGACAGGTAGGATTTCACTACAGTTGAGGAGTTTGAAACTGAATAATAGCGAAATCGGCTGAAGTGCTAGAGTTGAGGACACACTGTACTGCTCATGGGGGTTTGCTCGTTAGCTCGGGGAACTCCGGCCTCTCCGAGCCCCTTACTCTGTCCGCCACTGTTTTCATGGGTTTGAGAGTGAGAGTGAGGGAAAAACTATTGAAGGAAGTTAAAAAACAAGTTAAAGGTGAGCATGACTCACGTGGTGAGGATGAAAAAATGACATAATTGGATAAAGTGGTTATAAGAATAGTATTTGAAGCTGAAGCATGAGAAATATAAGAGCAATCAAAATCTAGTTGGGAACGTTTAGAGAGAGTAACTTTAATACAACAATATGTCTTCATAAAAATGAACACCTTTGACAATAAAACACTTATATTTATCACGATCAAACAACTTGAATTCCTTTTGACTAGATTGATTCCATAAGAATAGGTATTTTATGAACCTAAAATCAAGTTTGGATTTACTCGAACTCAAATTAACACAGTAAAATAAGCATCCAAATATGTCAATATGAGAAAAGGTGGGTGTATAGTTATAAATTTACTCTAAGGGTGTGCACTACTTAAAAATAGGAGAGGGCAATCTATTAAAAAAATTTCTAGCCATAAGCAAGCCTTCCCCCAAAATTGGTTTGGCAAATCAACTTGGAATAGAAAAGCTCGAGTGTATGAAGAATGTGTTTATGTTTGATCTTAGCTCAACTATTTTTGTTGAGAGCTGTAAGGACGTAAGCGTTGATGATTTATGTCAAATTTTTGAAACATTTGGGTGCATTGTTTTTTAACAAACTCATTGACATTATCGGAACGGATGGTTTTTACAATGACAATATATTGTATTCAAATGTTGAGAACAAAGTGATCTATGACAAAGTAGACTTGTTGTTTGGTTGGGAGAAAAATGGTATTCATAACACAGAAGCAATCATAAACTATGGTAATAAAGTAACGACAATCCATGAAAGAAGCAATTTTGCATTGTCCCCAAAGATCAACATATAAAATATCAAAACAATAATTGAACTTGGAGATACTTTTATGAAATGGCAGTATGTACTACTTAGCTTTGTGACAAACATGCAAAGATAATTTGCATCTATTCTAAGCGAAGAAAGATATTTCAAAACTTCAAAAAAAGCATGTTTCATCATTTGATGCCTTAACCAAGCCTATAAAGTAGTTGGGATGGTCGCTGCAATATGAATGAACAAGATTTTTTTATTCATATTATATATATCAAACTGAAAGATATATAAATTATCAACATGGTATCTAGAGTTTGGCTAGATCCTAGATATCATGTATTATAAAATACACATATATGACATGAAGGTGGGCTTGCAAGTAGAATCATTCACTAATGTGTTGACATAGATGAGATTGAAGTTGAATGTAAGAATATAACAAAATCGATTTGATGGATAGAACAATATTTCTTAAGAGAGTGATTGCATATGATGTTTCAATAGGCAGAAAGATCTACGGCTTGATGGTGATATAATGCAATGAGATGAAGAATTTGAAATTATATATATATATGACATGATGCACCACTATCAAATCATCAAAAAGAAGTATCTAATGCATTAGAATATGTAGTGTTACCTGAAAATTTGATTTCTAGCTTGTTGAATTCAACGAGAGTGTTGGGTAACGTTGTAAGAAGCTTCTGTAATCCCAACAGAACTAATGCACCTAGCTTTCCTATAGGATTTTCACTCTTTCTAGTCTCAAGATTACTTAATGTAGTTTCAATAGCATCGCTCACAATCATTACTCCACTGTTCTTGCATTTTCTTGTACCAAGAAGGTACTCTATGGAGTTTGAAGCAAATATATTTTTGTATGATATCTATATATAGCAGCATTCCTTTTATTCAATATTTGTTTCTTCTTGTCTTTTAATTTTCTGTTTACATTAAGTCTCTTGACTTCAATTGCAGCCATACTTTGATTGGCAAGTTCTACTGTTGTAAATTTCAACCACCATGCTCATAGTTGAAAGAGGGTCATTACAAGAATTTAGCCTCGAAGACTCTCATATATATCATTTAGATCAGTAAAAAATTTGATCGGTTGATTCCTATCCAATTGTGTAGTATTGAGTTTATTAACATTGCAACTACACTTACCACAAGAACAATTGACTAGAGGATCAATAACAATAAATTCATCCCAGAATTTATACAGTTTGATGTAATAAGAGATCGTAAAAATACATTTTTAGCATAAAGATGAGAGAAGAGTTGTATTAGTCAAATTTCTCTGTTTACTTAATCCAAAGTTATATGGTTGTGGGTGCAAATACAAATGCATCTTGGAGATCCATAGCAATAGTGTTTTTAATCCAAGCTCGAACTATTACATCAATTTCAATTCAAGCAAGCTTCATATTGGATTACGAATTAGAAGCATAGGTAATTTATGAGTAATAAGATTCAGCTTACCTCTCTCTTGCCACAAAGGGGGTGTGCATAGTTGGCATGCTAGACAAAGAGAAACAGAAATAATCACCAGATTACAACATCAAGACTTTAGAAAGCTGCTGAATATCATATAAGTGAAGAATGAAGAAGAAATAGAGTACAAGAAAAGGACTTGCAAATCCTGTTTTTGTATTATGTCAAAAAATGAATGAATTATAGAAAAGAATTTATATAATTATCATCATATAAACTATTTCTAGCTCCACGCATATTGTTATCTTTTAAATTAAATAATAATTTCATACTTTCTTCCCTACTTTTATTCTGATCATTCTACATAATTTGTCATTTTCTTCTTTGAAAAATACTTTAATCATATTTTAAATTCGGAAAGTATTTTATGATAAAAAGAAATCGTAAATTTACATAATTAGAAAGCAACACAAATAGATGAATAAGAGAGAACGGAGCCATAATGTCTACCCAAAAACAGCACAGCACAGCAATGTACAATTTCATTAACCATTCACACTACCTATTCTAATGTAGATCCAATTCCCAAAAGTGCAATTAAGAGAAGAAAATCAGATACAACAACAGCACAACACAAACACATCACCCAAAAATGCACATACTCACGTACATACAACAATTCCACCAAAAAAAGAAACGAAAATTCATCCACTACTCTAAATCCCAAATGATGGTCAAATTATTTATGTCTCCTCTCAGTTTTTTAGTTTTTTCGTTGTTGTTTCTTGTATGATCAAATTGATTATTTGACTCAGTTTCTAAAAAACAATGGCTACACCATGGCATATCACTTGACAAATTAAGTAATGTGGGAAAACTTACCAGGAATAGGCATGGGCATGGGATCGGTTCTCTCTTTTTATTCTTTCTTTCTTTCTTTCTTTTTATTCTTTCTTTCTTTCTTTCTACTGAACTGGAACCAGAAGTAGTTGATCATCAGAGTTCAGACCATGTAAGTCATGCCCACCTGTACCAGACGCGACTTGGGCACACTCATACTCGCAGTCTCCCTCCTGCAATTCCTTCGCAAGAATGCATAAAAATAGTTTACTATAAGCTTCCTAATGAACCAAGAATCTTTTCGAGCTCGGATATCTCCCCTTCCCATAAGATACACAGCCCCTGTCTCCTTTGCCTTGCGTATAAATGACAGTTCCATCTCTAGACTTTCCTCTGCATCCAAACCCGTGTTGTCACCCGACTTCGATGTGCTCGCCCTCCCTTCTTCTGATATTAACTTACCTACATTTCTGAAGTCACCAAGGAGAGGGACACTAAGAGAATAAACACTCCCATTTGGGCCTATTATTGTCTTTGAGTAGGACCCGGGGATTTCCGAATCAGAATCTGAGTCAATGTCTCCATCGCTCTCCAGGGATCGCTCCTGAGCTTCGCGTCTGATGAACTTCTCTAGACTGTCGATCAACAGCTTCTCAAACACTTGGTGATTCTCTTTATGAACATCCTTGTATCCGTATCTGATTAAGGGGCATTAATCAAGTGTCAAAAACAATTTTGATCTGGCACCTCGGAAAAATATGCATTAAAATTTTGGAGGCTTACCTGGCGACGCAACGGAATATGTGGTAGCTTCTGGGGCAGATTCTTCGAACCATGAAACGTTCACTTGGAGGGACAGCAGACACCGGGACATACTTTATACATACAAATAGTATCATAGAATGCACAGCTGGCAGAGTGGTGAGAAAATATCCAAATATTGAAGGTATCCCCTTAGCTAGCTCGTTGTAAAGCAAGCCAATGCCAGGAGCTCTGACAGTACCTAAGTTGGGACCCAATTTCCGGATCAAGTCAATTGACATCTTTTGATTCACCTCCGTCTCATACTTTAGCTTGCTCCCATAGTTCCATATATTCAGTATCGCAAATATGATGATAGTGAATACGAGGATGATCCAACTTCCATCTCCAATGCTCCATATAACCGAGGAAAAGAAGATCAATTCCAAACCCAGAAAGATCAATGAAAAACACAGCACAATAAAAATATTGATCTGCCAAATAAGAAGCATAACAAGTGTTACTAAGATGGTCGTCATCATCATGACTCCAAGTTCTGCAATGCCTGTAAAAAATAATCCATCTCAGATCACTCAGGATGGAAAACAACTTTACTTCATAAATGAGAATTATATTTAAGGTATACATAATGGGAGACAGTAAATCTATCATCAGCCAGACCTTTGATGGTAGGTTTCAGCATATTCTTATAAACGAAACTATATTACAACTTCTTGGTTATTATACCTTTCTTCTGCTGGTTATCAATTAGATATATCAATGTAGGCGATGAATATTCACTGAAATGCAATAAAAGGATTTTGGAAAGATTCATGCGAGAGCTATTACATTGTATTTAAGTGTTACTCTATTACTTTCAGTTAGACCTGGGTAAATTAAAGTGCAACATATAATAACTAAGGATAATTAGTTATAAGCTAATTTTTATATTTAACAGACTGTTTTACCCTTTATAAATAATTCATTAACATTAATTATATAATACCAATCAAGAGTATTTCAAACAAAAATAATAACAGTACTTAATAATCTAGTAAAGTAAACATTGGGTTCTATTATATTGAGATTATATAATACATTACAATAATCCCATAGATTATAATTCAATCCTACAAAAAAAAACACCCCTCTAGGTCACAAATTGACAGCATTCAAACAGAAGAAGCATGAGAATTACCATATGCATTTCCAATCTCATTAATATTTGAGATTTTGCAGACCAAAACTAGGGTAAGAACCAACAGGAACCAATTCATGACAGGAATATAAATTTGACCCATGAATTTCCTTGAGGTATGTATGATCTTAAGACGAGGAAAGCAGCCAAGGGCTGTTGATTGCTTGATACATGAGAAAGTAGCCGTAGTCATAGTTCTACTTGCAATCAGAGCAGCAGAATTGGCTATTATAAAGACAGGCCAGAATGCCCCACCTGCACTAGACAAAATGACAAATCATGGCTGATACTATGAAATTGAATACACACCACAGAAACATATAAGCTGAAATGATTAATCAAATGCCATAGAAACAAAATTTCAAGACTATAGTTAGCTAGGCATGGATGAGTAATAACACTGCCAACATTTTAATAATTTAGCACTGAAGAATCTCAAACAAAAGAATCATACTGCGCGGATTAAATATTTACTTGGAACAGAGGAGAAGAAGGATTGTGTTGTATCAGCATGGTTTTCCATGAGATAAGCTGCTTGACCGAGGTAACCCAGTAGAAGACAGGGCAATACAAGAAACACAAAAGTAAGCTGCAACAATCATCAATTTTTTAGTAAGCATAGTTTCAATAGATTTCGAAACAAAAAAAACAATTAATATACTCTAACTAGGGAAACATAAGAGGCAGTATACTCATTGCCTACCTGCACTGATCTCACAGAAAAATAGCAGAGATCTGCAAACATAGCCTCAGAACCTAAGATAAATAATTGATTATTAGAAATCATTCAGATGGAATCAGCTTGTTCTGTCAAAAGATCACCCAAAAAATTAAACAATAAAAGAATAATAAGAAGTTAATGATGGCACATATGAATGATGTGTTTTAGGAAAGATAAGATGACTCAGATATTTTAAGGCACTCGAACATCTTATAGGAAAATGTTTTAGTTCAATCTTAGATTAACCATTTGATGAAAGAAGCTTGTGATTGTTCTAAAAGAGCTCTTTCAGAAATGTCAGCAATTAATTTTTTTGTGTTAAGCATAAAAATTTAGCAAAAATCTTGAATTTACATGCACCATAAAAGTTGAGAGAAAATGACCAAAAATACTTTTTAATAACACTGTTTTGCTGCTAGAACTAGCAAATTAAAGCATGTAGAATCACTTGCTTTTTTTAAACCACTTTATCTGTTCAGTATGTTCAAAAGTTTTTAAAGATGATTCTTTCCTACAAACTAAATGCATCAAATTCATTGGTAGCAATAGCCAATAAACAATTGTTAGACATCATTAACTTTCAGGGTTGTTTGATCAATTCTGAAACATGACATGTAGAGAAATACAAGAAAAGTAACTCATTCAGGGATGTTCAGTTACAAGACAAGACTTACACAAGGTAGAACATGAAAAACTTGAGCAGTAGACTGCTAGGGTGGGGGGGGATAAAAAATGGACTATTGATTGATAATAATAGAAAAATCTCATCAAGGTTTCACAGACTATCAGTATGACAATAGCTTCAGAATTACCAGTAGCACAAAGAAGGCATCCCCCAAGGGAATACCAAGCCTTGGTTGAATTGCGCTTGAAATAATAATATATATGCGCTGGATTAAAAGCCCGCAGAACTCCAGTATCATATTTGATAAGATTATATACACCAATGCCCGCTAGAGAACAGAACCATATAAGCAAGGCTGGCCCAACTACAAGCCCCATTTTACTAGTTCCATATCTTTGTACACTGAATAGCACTACAAGAAATGCAACTGATATTCCAATCACATGATCTGCAATTCAAAAATACTAACAACATCAGATATATGTAGATTACATTTAATACATCGTAACAATGAATGTACAATCACAGAAATTGAATCAAAGAGTCTGAACAACTTTCACATAAACCAACACAACCACACATATGGCTTTTTGAACTGATATCTATAATATTGTGCCACAATGGAAGTTAGCTCACCAAAATAACTTGCATAATAAACAAAGCAACTGATAGCATCCAAGAGAGATTCATTTCATCAGTACACTGATCCTATGCTTTCAAACCAAGGTTGCATGCATCAACAAAAAGTCACAATAACTAAACAAATAAACATTGAAAAGATTTTCAAGTATCACAGTCTATTTCAAACACAAGATGGCTAGATGGAAAGAAATCCAATAAATAGATCCATCCAATGTCTTAGAGAATTAGGGTGTATTCCTTTGTGTTTTGGGGTATTTTCAATATTTTTGGGAATGGTAGAAAAAAATTTGAATTGACATAGGTTTTCATGTTTGACATGATGTTGAGTAGAAAATATCTTTTGATTTAATAAAAATGTGTGTTTAATTTGATGTTCTACGGGAGTTGAAAGATTTTTCTACTGTAGCATAAATAATGTGAAAACAATATTGTAAACACGAAGAAATACACCCTTCTGTGAGTATCCCGAGTATTCCATTATGTATTCATAGAAAAGAAGATATTAAGGTTGTGTTTGTTTAGGGATTTCGATTTTGAGTTGGGATTTGAATAGTAAAAATTTTGAATTTGAATAGCTGTATGATGTGATATAAATAGGTGTTGATGTGATATTTTGAATGTAAAATTGATTTTTAGTATAATATAAAAAATAAAAAATAGGTGTTTGATTTGATGTTTTTGGGGTAAAAAAATAGGATGAATAGTGTATTTGAAATCCAATCCCCCAAACAAACACACTAATAAACATCACAGAACCGATGAACTCCCGTCGCACAATCAGCACAAATCATTTAGAAGAGAACTAATCACCTTGCTTTATCCCAGGGATTCCAACCTTTAAACCACCTACAGCAGATGTAACTGCACAAATAATAATGTTATTATACTGTACATCTCAAACAGAAAATCAATATTTCTAGACAAACAAAAAGAACAATTATTTCTATACGGTAGAACTATGGGCTTAAAGAAAGATAAAATGCAGTACAAAATACTTGCTATAGCGGACCTGACATGGCTGGAGTAACAACACCATCAGCTATCACCATTGAAGTACCAGCAAGAACCAACATCAAAAGTAGCTTCTTTAATGTCACAGAAGCTTCTAGTCTCTCCTTTATTTTTAGTGACCTCTTCAATTCACGGGATGGCACTAAAAGTCTGAAGCTTGATATACGATCATCTGATGGAAGTTGATTTGGTAGAAGACTAACTTTTGCATGCCTACAAATCAATGAGTACAGAGCAAATGTACCACCTGCAGTAATAATCAGCTGCGTCGCTGCATTTATTTATACATAACAGGAGTAAAGAAAAGCTCGATAAAGGAGATATACCTTCGCCATCATCATTTGCCCAGAGAATGATAAGGACATACTTGATAAGTGGAATCAAAATCAAGGTATACAAAACTAGTGATAATGCACCTAGAACATCTTCATTTCCATTGGGTGGTGCTTTGCTGAACATCACACTGAAAGTATACAATGGACTAATCCCCACATCACCAAAAACAACTCCAAGTATCAGAAATTCTAGTACAATTCTTCTTCCCACAGTGATGGCCTGCGATAATATTTCAAAATTTCAATGTTAAGGCTCGACCACAAGCAGCTATTATACATCACATGAAACTCGTCAATTTTAGAAACTAAGATGGTTCCCCCAAGCCAGGTACATAGCTGCACGTGATGCACAGTCATGGTAAAATGGTCGGCATGCTTAAGGTAGCCAAGCAGTCAATTAAAAAGACTCCTGAAATTCTGCCGTTGAAAAAGGGCAACAAGCCCATTGGAAAAGGGAAGGCTAAATGAAAATTTATGTCCAATGTTCAAAAGATTGCATAGTAAAAAAAGGATCAGCGTAGTAAATATGTTATGGATAATAAATGCTTTGCATTTTGTTCATTTTAGGATCTGAAACCTGAGAACCCATCATAGAATACAAATTAGCTCCGACAGCTATCGAGATGTAGATTACACTTCATCAATCAGGGGAAGATTCTATCATTAGCCTCTTTGACAAAAATAAATAGGATATATATTTGGTGTATTAGGAGATATCCATTGTTGTCAATTTGTATCTGCCTAAAGCTTGCTTCGATTTCTCCAGTGGATAAGTCAATCCTTAAGTTGAAATTCATATTTCAGTCACAAAAACTGGTTTAGTAATTTAACTATATATTGAGATCATAACTATTGTTCATGCCCAGCATCCCCAAATTAATCCGTATCCTGTTTCATTGCTCAGGATCCAAGTGGGCTGCAACTATTGGCATCAGAGACCTAAACTACAATCGGGGTCATATCGCATCGTACTAAGTTTTTACAGTTAAGCAAAAAATGGAGAGAAACAAAATCAACCCAAATTGGAGAAAAAGGGAAACAGAAAATGACCTCATTATCATTTCTCTGGGCGCCAGAAACTTCAAGTGCTTCAACATCAAACGAATCAATCTTGGGCCCCGTGCGAACCAGCATATGCTCCTCGTCGTCCGAATCGTGCTGGGGCGAAACCACGCCACCAACATCATCTTCAACGTCGCTGTCGATGCGATACCTCTTTTCATCTTCATACACCCACCGCGAAGATTCGACGGAGTCCAAGGACGGCAACCTCCCATTCTCCCTCTCCGATCCGTCCTCCGCCATCCCCTCCCCTCCTATTGAATCATCTATCTACAGCTGGCCTCCTGGTGGCCGAACTACTTCGATTGGTGAAATGGAGGTCCGGCTACGGAAGTCGTTGGAAGCAAGCAAGGCAACGAACAGTTGGAGCGTGGGGTGGGGACGACCAGTTGATAAGCGAAAAAGAAAATGAATCCACAGCTGTCAGTGAGCAACGCAACGCAGAAAACGTGATGGTGTTACGGACTGTAATTAAAAAATAGTTCAAAAGAGGGAGACGAGGCTAGCATTAGCATCATAGCAGCCATCGCTTTCGTACAAATAAGCCAGCTCTCTCAAACCATGTAGGCGTGTACAATGAGAAATACACAAGACCGTTATTTCAGATAAAAATAAAAAGATTAAAAAAAACGAGAAAATTGTATAAGTGCTATAAAATATAAATATAAAAATGATAAAATATTTAATGTATAGATATATGTTTACATGTTAGAGCAGTCAAAGCTCTTGAATTGACCCATAATTTTAGAAAATTTTTATAACCTAAATATTATTACTAAGAAAAATCATCTATCATTTTTTAATATTAATATTTATAATTTTTAATGAAAAACTAAACATATATATATACATATAAGATTGATAAAATATTATATTTTATGATAATTTTAAAAATATTTTATATTAAATTAAATTAATTTATTAAAAATTTTCATATAATGTTAAACTAATTAATCAATATATATTGTCTGTCGATATTCTCTTTTATAACAGTTTTGGCGATATAGTTGTTTTCAATATTTTAATTTTTTTTCCGTTTGTTTAATTTCTTTTTCATGTGTTCTAATTTTTTTCTTCTAAAATTTATTGAAAGATCTATAAGAATAATATCTATTTGTTGTTTAAATATTTTCGATTAACAATTTTGTTTAAAAAAGATAACGACCAATGATATTTAAAATTTTGAATTAATTTATGTTACATATTTATTCAAATTTTTATTATTTAAACTCTAAAATATAATTATTTTTTTATATAAAATATATAAAAGTAATATTTTTAATATTTTTTTAAAAACCTGTAGGTTGGCCCGCTTTATTCGCCATCCACGGGTTGGTTAGGTTGGGCTGAGCTACCTAAATCTTAATCTGTCCCGCCGTGGGTTGACCCGCAAATAACTCGCTTATTTATGGATTATGGTGGGTTGTGGACTAATTGATTGAGAGACATAAGAGGTAGAGGGAAAAAAATTAAGATAAAATTGAAATCGAAAGTATCTATTAATTATGAAACTAACATCTATATTTAGAGATGCAATACAACAAGATTAGTACGTGTCAAACTAATATAGTAATACTTATACGGCATCTATCAAATAACAATAACATGTATCATAGCACTTCCTCTTAGTAAAGCCTTGGTCAATACATTTGTTAAACTATTATTGAATCGAATCGGTAGCACATCTATTTCACCATGTTTCTAAAAATCGTGAGTAAAAAAAATTTAGGTGAAATATGTTTATTTGATTTATAGTTCTTTCAGTTACGCTATATGAGTTGTATTATCTTCCTTCGTATAAGATAATAGGAGGATTATCATTTTCAAATATCGAACCACAATTTATTAAAATGTAGTGAGTCATTGATTTCAACTAGACACATTATCGACTAGCCTCATAAATTGCTATTATTTCAGTATGATTCGAATATGTTGCGGTTAATGTTTGTTTAGTGGATCTTCAAGATACCATTGTACTGCCGTAAGTAAATATATAGTCAGTCAGAGACTTGGGCCAATGCGCGTCAGAAAGATACCCAGCATTCACATATCCAATTAATTCATATTGAGAATTCTTTGAATATAATAAACCGAGATCAATCGCTCCTTGTAGATAACAAAAAAATATGTTTAATGTCTTTCCAATGTCGTTGTATTGGCATTGCACTAAATTTTGCTAATAAATTTACAGCAAATGCTATGTCCGGTCTAGTATTGTTAGTCAAATACATTAGTGCGCCAATAGTACTTAAATATGGTACTTCGGGACCAAGTGCTTCATCACTCTCTTCTTTTGATCTAAAAGGATCCTTAATAGGATCGAGAATTCAAACGACCATTGAAGTACTTAATGAATGTATTTTATCCATTTCAAAGTGTTTGAATACTTTATGGGTATATACAGATTGACGGATCAAAATTTTATTTTCCAAATGTTCAAGTTGTAGACCAAGGCAAACTTTCATTTTCCTGAAATCTTTAATTTCAAACTCAATTTTCAAATATTTAATAGCTTCTTGAACTTCTTCAGGGTTCCAATTAAATTCAAGTCACCACATAAACAACTATTATCACAAACGTTTTATTATTATTTTTTATATAAACACATGAGCAAACTGAATAATTGACATATATTTCTTTCAATAATGATTCACTTAGACGATTATACCACATTCAACCAGATTGTTTGAACTCATACAAAGACTTTTATAATTTAATGTAATAATATTCTTTTGGCTTTGATTTGTATATTTTAGGCATACCGATCATTCAGAGATTCTCATATAGATATCAGTATTTAATGAGTTATATAAATAGGCAGTTACAATATTCATCAAATGTATATCCAAATTTTCATGCACTATCACGCTGATAAGATATAGAAATGTTATTTCATCAATTATTAAAGAATATGTTTCATTAAAATCATTCAAAGTCTTTGCGAAAAACCTTGGGCAACAAGTCTTGCTTTATATTTTGTAATTTCATTATTCTCATTTCATTTTCGAACAAATATTCATTTATAGCCAACAGGTTTAACATATTCTGATGTTTATATAATGGCTCCGAAAAAATTTTGTTTTGTCAGTAAATTCATTTCAGACTGGATCGCATTTTTCCAGTTGGGTCAATATATTCTTTTCTGACATTAATTAATTGATCTGGGTTCAAAATCCTCGTCATTTTCCATTAAATCAATTGCTACATTATATGAAAAAAATATTATCAATAATTATGTCCTTTCGGTTCCAATATTTTTTAGTAGTAACATAATTTATTGAATTTTCAATACCATCTTTCTCTGCAGGAGAAATTATATCTAGTTTAATTTATTCAAGAACTTCATTAGGATCAACTTCTTTAGGAAGTTTATTAAGATCACTTTCTTTAGTAATTTGATCCATGTTACTACGTGTTCCTTGAGGAATTTGATTACCATTCAAATCTTCAACCATTTTATTTGTTCATCTTTTCTTTCGAGGATTTTTATCTTTGGAACTTAAAGGTCCACCACGTTTTAGACGTGCATTCGATTAATTAGCACTTTGAATTTTCCCTTCAGGAACAATAATTTTATCTTGTGGATTTTTCGCAGCTATATATGATATGGTGATTCTGTTGGTGTCATAAAAAAATCAAGTAACTGATTTGCTATTCGCTGCAAATGTATAATTTGTTGCACTTCTAATTTACTTTGGCTATTACAAGGATCAAGAAAATCGAAAGGTATTTTCCAAGTAATTTTCTTTTCCAATTGATCAGTTTCTCCCCTTAATATCGGGAAATGCGACTCTTCAAAATGACAGTTAGCAAATCGAGCTGTAAATATATCACTAGTTGATGGCTCAAGAAACTTAAAAATAGATGGTGATTCATACCCGATATAAATCCCCAATCTCCATTGGGGGCCATTTTTGTGCATTAGGGTAGTGCTACCGACACATCAACTGCGTAACCAAATGTTCTCAAATGTGATATATTAGGTTTTTCATTGTATATCAATTGTAATGGGGAGTAGCTATGATAATTTGTCGGTCTTAATCTTATTAGTCTTGTTGCATGCATAATTGCATGTCTTCAAACAGATATGAGAAGTTTAGATTTCATCAACATAGTTCTTGCAAATAATTGCGGCTTTTTTATAAACGATTCAACTAGACTATTTTGAGTATGTATATACGGTAAAAGATGTTCAATACCAATCCCAATAGACATACAATAATCATCAAATGTATTTGATGAATATTCACGAGCATTATCAAGACGAATTTTCTTTATTGGATGATCGAAAAACTGTGCTCGTAATCTAATTATTTGAGCAAGCAACATCTCAAATGTCAAATTTCGGGTGGATTATAAACATATATGTGACCATCTAGTAAATGCATCGATAAGTACCATAAAATATCTGGATGATTCACATGGTAGATCTACTGGCTCACATATATCACCATGAATTCGTTCTAAAAATACAGGGAATTTAATTCTTACTTTTGCTGGTGATGGTCTAGTTATTAATTCAATTTAGAGCAAGCAATACATTTCAATTTATTTGTATTTAATACCCTTTGATTTTTCTAGTTATGACCATTGGTATTTTCTATGATTCGTCTCATCATAGTATTATCGGGATGCCCAAACCGGTCATGTTAAATCATAAAATCTGTAGACTTCTGCTCTAATAGATATATTTCAATCGCATTAATCTTTGTGTAATATAATCTGAAAATAATGAAGATAATTTTTCTAATATATATTTGTGTCCATCAATGACTCTTGTAATCAACAAAAAAAATTATTATTTGTCTCACTAGATATCTCAATATGATGTCTATTTCTTTGAATATCATTAAATAGAAATTTTTTTTGATATTTGCTAAAATATAATGTATTTTCGATATCAAATTTTACGCATTTGGGGAGAAATATTATTGCTCTTTTGAATCCCTCAATAAATTTTGCACAACAACCTATAGTATTCACATCAAATTTTTCCAACTTCAAGTTGGTGAAATATTTCTTATATTTTAAAATTGTGTACATTGATGCACTATCAATGAGATATAAATTATATTTCGTATTATTTATTATGGCGCATTCTGTATTCGTTTTTCTTCTTCTTGAAGAAAAATCATAAAATAAGATATAAAATATTTAAACAAAAATCATAATTGTTATATTATTACCAAATATGAGGGGAAAAATAATTATATATAAGAAGTTCCTAATATATATTAGCACATTGTACCTTCAGGATGTTCAAAATATAAATTATTGGGAATTTCAAATATATATTATCAGACTGTATCTTTATGGTGTTCAAAATATAAATTATCAAAAATTTCAAATATGTACCTTCAGGGTAAACAATATACAATATTAGGAGGTTCACAATATACACAATCGGAGTACTCAAAATACACTATCAGGGGTTTCAAAATATGAACCTCAGGATTCTCAATATGCACGTAAGCCTGTTATAGCAAGTGGATAATTTAAAATTTTATGTTAGTAATAATTGTATTAAAATAGAATAATTAAATAAATACCTCAAAATTTTGGCAGAGTTTCCTGTGACACCCCGACCCGCAAGCCACGCGAAGCTTAGGATGTCAGGATTGTAGACTAGCCCCACAAATCAACACGGGTCATTCCTCTAACACCAACTGTGACACCCCGGCTCGCAAGCCACACGAAGCCGAACGTGTCGAGATTGCAGACTGGCCTTACACGTCAACACGAGTCCTTTCCGAAAGTTACCCATCTTCACATTACTCCAATGCAAGCACATTTAACTTTGGCTTAACTCTAGAGTTCTTTCAGTAGGGTTTTCAAAAAAGAACGTGCACATTGTTGAGACGAGCAATCTATTCAATCGATTTAACATCTTATTTAACCTCGGGGGTATTTCATCATCCCCAACTCATATCACTATTCAACTATTCAACTCCGGGGTATTACACCTCCACAACACTTTGATATCTTTTTATAATATTTGGATAGAATTTCGAGTTTTTTTTTTTTTTTTTTAAATGCAATTTTTGACAACCTATTTAAATAACTTTTAAAAAATTTAAAAAAAAAATACACTATATTTATATAAGCATTTTCTCGGTAAATGCTCGTACTAATAATGTGTTATAAAATGTATAACAAAATATAATAAAATATAAATATAAAAATGATATAGTATTTAATGTATATATTTGTATATATGTAAGTATAATACATGGATATATATATGTCTATATATATATATAACCGTGTGTGTATTTGTAATTGATTTAGAAAGAGAGATACGAGGCGAAATTAAGATAAAATTAAAAAGAGAGTAAAATTAAGATAAAATTGAAATCGAAAGTATCTATTAATTATGAAACTAAAATTTATATTTAGAGATGCAATACAATAAGATTAGTCATTATACAAATGGCGGGTCAAACTAATATATGACACCTATCAAATAATAATAACATGTATGAGAATCATTAGGGCATCCGCATCAGAGAAATTCACAAAGGATTTTCTCTTCATTCCACTTCATCATTTCACTTTTTCAACTCAACAAAAATTTACATATATATATTTATATTTATATCAATAAAATTTATTTGAAAATTAAATTTAAATAAAAATATATCAATACATAGAATAAAATTTTATATAATACAATAATATAAAAGATAAAAAATAAATAAAATTATTATAAATAAATACAAAATAAAAAATTTGATGGTGTTTTTTGGATTTCTCTGCATCAACCCAAAAATCATTTTATAATTTTTTTAACTCCCAAAAATGCCACAGTATGAAAGAGAGGGTTTCTCTCCCTACCTATGTGGATGACTTTACTTTTGGATATCTCTACTACTTTTTGTAATTCACATCACTTACTCTCTGTGTTACGTCAGCAGATACTTTATTCTATTTTATATTCGCAACAAAAATACTCATCCTAATTTTTTAATAAATTTTTATTTTCATATTATATATATTATTTTTTAATTATAATTTTATATTATTTAATTGCTTTATAATTTATAATTATATTTTATTTAATAATTTAAATTAAATTTATTAATATTGATTTGTTCAATAAAATTATATAATATTTGTATTTATATATTTTAAATTTTAAATTGATAAAAATATATTCAATATTGGTATCATTTTGTAGAATATAAAATATTATGAATTATAAAAATATTACAAAAATTTAAATATAACAATAAATTTAATATAAATTACAAAACAATACATATATAATATACTATTTCACATATATATACACGTAAGTGTCATGTGTCCCAGTTAAATTGAAACACATGGCAATTGGATAAGAGATGCTGGGAAACAAATTATCTATCATTTTTTATTTTTTATTTTTAAAAAATAGTGATGTGACTGCATATTGCGGATGGTCTTATATATTCTATACCACATCAGGTTAATTTAGAAACTTAGCAAAATCTTGTTAAATTCTTTCTTCACATAAAGTTAAAATAAAATTATTAAATGTTTTAGTTTTCTACATCTATAAATTTATTACTCATTCGGTCCGACTTTTTTCCTTTATTTTTTTTTCAATTCTACAGTAATTTAAATAGAGTATAATTAGTAAATAATTAAATTTTTATTAATTAAAATAATTATAATTTAATAAAAAAATTATAAATTAAAATTAAAATAACTAATTAGTCTATTAAAAATTATAAATTTTAAAATTAAATTAAAATGTATAATTTTTTCTAAAAGATATAAAATGACAAAATAAGTGGAAAAAACGAAAATGAAAATATGAACGTAGTAAATGAGACAGAGAGAGTAATATTTTATTTATTAAGCAACATTTGAATTTCAGCACCGGAATTTGAAATATTGGTGTGTATCATAAAGTATAAATTAGGTGATGTAGTGAGAAAAAAAAATGTATATTTAGTTTTTTTACTTGAGTAGTGCGATGAAATAAACTATATTAATTATTTTCTATTTTGGAAATATTGCAAGGTATGTGAAAAGTACCAAAATAAAAAATGTCGTAAAGTAAGTGAGACGAAGGGAGTAAATATTAGTATAATATTTTATATTTAATTAATATAATTATATATTACTCTCGCCGTCCAATTTATAAATAAGTATTTACTTTTGGCATTGAGTTTAAAAAATAATAATATTTTAATTTTAATTAATAGTTAAAAATAATATAAAGATAATTTTGCCTTATTTTTGGTATAAAAGCAAAAAGTAAATGTTGGGCACAGCATATTACTATCAAATACTCCCTCCGTCCGACTATAATGGTCACATTTACTTTTTGCATCATTGTACTTATCATTAAAAATATTCTTGTATTTGTATAATTTTTTGTACAAATATTATTTTGTTAGTATTATAAGACACTAATTGAAGTATTGTGCAATTTTTTCTTAATTTGTACTACATTTTGATATAGTAAGTAATACTCGAAGATTAACACGCAAAAAGTAAATGAGACCCTTAGAGGCGAACGAATGTAGTATAAAATATTCCTTCCGTCCCAACTCAAAGTATAATTTTTACCATTTTCGTCGATCTCACTCCATAGTATCTCTTTCTTATTTTAGTAAAAATAATTATACACAAATACCAAAAAATACTTAATTTTTATGTAACTTACAAATATATTACTACGTATAAGTTATTTTATACAAAATACACACTTCCACTAATTAATAAAATATTATTATTTTTTAATTTATTATAAAATTTTGGAGCGGGATAAAAAGAGTAATATTTTTTGTATAGGACAAAATGCATATAAAATTTCAATGACACCAAAAGTTTTGCTTCTATGAAAAGTCATCATAAAATTTTTCTTTCATTGTTATATTCTATTTCCTTATACAGTTGTAATAATATACATTTTTAAAAAATATTATTTAATTTATTATATTCTATATAAAGAGTAATATTTATTTTTTGCATATAGATTTTTTAATATTGGTACTATATTGAATTGTAATAAAAAAGACGAAAACATCCTTATTAGTATTATGTCATATAAAAGTGATAGCATTTGTATAATATATTGTAAGTGGTAAGGGTATTTATTATATTAGGTAAATAGTACAATTATTAAATTAAAAAATATTATAATTTTTTATACCAAATTTTGTGTATTGGTTTTAGTTACTTTTAGGTTGTTCGTTTTAAATTTTTTAATATATGTTTTTATTACCTATTATTATTTTTTAAATATTAAATCAAATATATATTTTATATTATAGTATTAAAATTTAATTTTATATTAAAATATCACAATAAAATATTTATTTAAATTTAAAATTTACTATTAAAAAATTCAAATATCCAAATAAACTTGTATTTCAATTTAATTTGGTTGAACCTGTCATGGGAATCGGTATTTCCATAATATTTCTATCTCAAATCTTTTTTATTATTGTTAATATATAATTTTTTTTTTTAAAAAAAAGAAAATTAAAAAATTACCTAAAATATTAAAATAAACAAAAAAAAAAAAAAAAAAAAAACTAAGCCAATTCTTATAAAATCGCAAAATTTTAGAGGGAAGCAAATAAGTCGGTCAAAGAAAGCCTGATATTCTTACGAAGGCTTAAAATGTGGAGAGCGACGAAAAATACTGTTAAGGATCCGTTCAACACTCTGTAACGAGTAGACACATACACATTCATCATATTTAAACTTTGATTAAATAAATCAAATAAATTCATATGAGTGTGTATATATATTGGCTGTTAGGAGGTGAGGAGTATTGTCATTCTGTGATTCGTTACATTGCCTGTACTGTACTGTACTGTAGTGTGGTGTGGTGTGGTGTGGCGTCGGATGGGAGACCACTACAGTAGCAGCAGCGTGTCTGTGGCTGCCACTGCCGCCTTTTGCAGCTGGCCCTGAAAGTGGAACGGTTTGATTTATTTTCGTTTTTTTTTTTGATGTTCGAGGATGTGGGTGCGCTTTTGTGAGAGAGGTTTGCATGTTTGGTTGATGAGTTAGGAGCGAAGGAAGAAGCCGCGGGGAGGCATGGGTTAATTGGGTTAATGGAGATAGGAGGAGGAGGGGCGTGTTCTCAGGGGTTTGTTTTTTAATGGTTTTTTTTTTTTTTTTGTTTTGTTTTGGTCTTGTTGTGGCTGCGTGTGTGTTCATTAGCTGTTTGTTATTTGTAGCGGAGCTGTTTTGATTATGGCATTGTGTTGTTTTGTTATTGTTGTGAAATTTTGTGTTATTTGTGAGGTTTTATTTGGGGGAGGGGTTTAGTCTGTGTGTGTGTGTATTTTGTTGTTGTTGTGTGTTGTGGATGTTGGTGTTTGATGCTTTTGAAGAGCATCGGAAGGATTGATGATGAAGGTTGACGATGGAATGGAGGCGGTGCTGGGGGAGATCGATCAAGTGACGTCATCTTTGGATTTGGATCAGCAGCAGCATCATCACTTTCTGAGCAATGCTAATGCTAATGCTGCTAATTCTTCGGCTCTTTATCATCACGTTGATTGTGGCTATGGCCACACATACACCATTGGTGCGGCGGCAAACACTATCCGGGAGGCTCAGGGGAATAATTTCGACGGATTTTACGAATCTCGAAAGCACAGCTATGGCGGACTCGCACATTCGCCTATCAGCGATTATTCTTTGCCATCTGATGGTTCTTCCTCTAGTTTGTTCTCTACTGCTGGTGGCTCACACTCTGACAATGGATCACAACCTCTTCACCAATTTGAAGAGTTTAATGGTTGGAATCTAAATCTGGCTGATGATTTTAATTTGTCCAGGGATTTTAACAAAATGTGCATTAACGATGAGCAGCCGAATGCTTCTGTGTATCAGAATGGGGTTCGATATTTCAATCCCTTTCAATCTGTTGCTGGTGCTGTGCCGGAGAGTCTTGAAAATTTCAGAGCATCGAGTGGTTATATGAATGGTTCTAGCAGAGGATTTAACCCCATCATATCAAGAGAACCACTACGGACTGATGGATGGGACCGTAGTTCTGGAATTCAAAACAATCCTGCAATGGCTAGTTTATGGGGACAGGGACAGGGGCAGGGGCAGTGGTATTCGTTCGGTCAGCCCGACAGATTCCCTAGGCAGCCAGATTTCGACAGAAGTGCTGTTCCTGGTTACAACATTCATCGAAATAATGTGTTGGCCAGTGGAAATCTTCCAATGGGATATGTCATGCCCGAGGCAATGGCCTCTTTCGACAACAATTTCGCTGGCAGCCCATCATTGTATGCTTCGCAAAATAGGATGAACCTGGGAAGCTCCTATTATTCACCTAACATGGTTGAGATGGCGCCGATGATGATGCCTTGCTATAATGCTGGAGATCCACAAAAGTACCATGCAGCAGCTCTTAATGGAAGAAATGGAAATGGAGTTCCAATTCGAATGACTCAGGGGAGAGTTGAAACCTTAATCAAGGAGGATAATTTTTCCGGTTCAGGAGAAGGCATCAAGCATGGGATTCCAAAAGATGGAAAGTCGAAGGTGGATAAATATGCTCATGAGAGAGGCTTTAACAAGAATAAAGAGAAGAGTTGGCGGCCAGATGTTGGTCATATGTACAATGCTGATAGTTACAAGGGTCCCAGGAAGTCTTTCCCTTTCATTCTGCCATCCAAGTGCAGCTCCCTTGCTGAAGCTCGAGGATCCATATATCAAATCGCAAAGACTCAGAATGGATGCCGGGTATTGCAGAGGCTGTTTGATGAAGGAACTCCTCGAGACGTGCAGATAGTCTTGAGTGAGATAATTGACCACACTGCTGAACTCATGATGAATCCATTTGGAAATTATCTCATGCAAAAGTTAATGGAGATGTGCGTAGATTACCAGAGGACGCGCATACTGATGAAGGTGACTGAGGTGCCGGGGCAGCTAATGAGGATATGTCTAAGTTCACATGGGTATGCTTGTCGAATACTTGGGTTGTCGTGTTTCCCTAAAGCCTTGTGCTAACTAACACCATTTCTGTTGTTTTCTTATAAACAGCACTAGGGCGGTCCAGAAGTTGATCGAGCTTCTCACTACAAGGCAACAAATAGCCATGATTATTCCAATCCTCAAAGCAGGATTTCTCACTCTGATCAAGGATTTAAATGGAAATCATGTTATTCAGAGGTGTTTGGAATGCTTTAGCTATGAAGACAAGGAGGTAATTCACTTTCCACACCTATCTTAGCTTGATAATGCATTGATGGAACAGTATATGAAGTCATTGCCTGTATGTTTTAGTTTCTCTCATATTTAAAATGCCGATCATAATTTAGTTTGGGTTTTGTTTTGTTCTGCTTTCATGTGATTTTTCCTGGTAAAAACCTGCACTTGTTATTTCTGAAAGAAGTTTTAAAATCACACTTTCGAGCAAGTGGCATTTACAATAATATAGATCACATAAAGCATTCTTTTACAGCACCATGGGGAATGACATTAGTAGTATTCTAAAAATGTTTGCTTCGATATTTCTATAAGCTCACTCTGTCACTGGAATGAGTTTAGTTGGTTCACCTAGAACTCAACTCAAGCTTGAGCCAATTCTTGTATAATGTTCTTAGGCTTGTTAGTAATTTTACTTGTTATATATTAGAAAATGATTAAAACCCATTTACATTAATGTATGTACTTAAATATTTTGAGATGAAAGTAATTAGAATTTGAGTATGGTTTGTGAGATCGACTAGATACTACTTCAAGATCCTGAGATGAGGTCAAGTACAATATATGAGTTTGTCCAGCTTGACCTCAAGCTTACAACATCGTATGTACAAGAGATCAAACTCTTGTAGTATCCATTTTTAGTGTTTGATGCTGAATCTGCCCTTCTGCCTCCGCTGTGCTACTATGTCACTACTTCCTGCTACATGCAAATGTAGATATCTCTTCCTCCAATGATCACTTTGTGAGGTTTGTTAACAATGTGTATCAGGTAGAAATATTGTTATAATTTTTAATCGTTTTTAAGATATGCAACATTGTAAAATTTATCAGAGGTTGGGCTTCTCTGCTAGCACAGTTTGCTATTGTTTTCTTTTATAGACGGACTTTGGAAGGACAGCGTAAGATTCTAAGTGATGTTGATTCTTGTAACAGCTACAGTTCACGCTGCTTGATGCGTATAGGATGCTCATAAATTTTTGCACTACAATCATTTTTGAACAAACATTTGTTCTCACTTTCCGTATGTTCTTGATGAGGTCATATATAAGTAAAATTCTGTGTCTGCTATATGCTGCATTGTTTCCAAGAATAGAATTTTGATGTTTTATAGTAAGCTGATGGATCCTAACTTACTATATTGTATTCCATTATCAGTTCATTTTTGTAGCTGCTATGAAACACTTTGTTGAAATTGGAACACATCAACATGGATGCTGTGTTCTGCAACGTTGCATCTACCATGCAACAACTGAGCATTTTGAAAATTTGATCACAGAGGCTTCCGAGAATGCATTATTGCTTGCTCAAGATGCGTATGGGTAATGTTACTTTTTCTATTACCTATTTTAATACTTTTTTGTGGTCTTGGTGTGTTCTTCGGAAAAGTTTCTCAATTTTTATAAAATATATAACATTCAACACCCAAAGAAACATTTTACTTGAGATGTATATATATATTTTAGCTCATTACATATGCTAATGATACAAACATGACATCGCTTATCTGCATTTTCTGGTTTAAGTTGGCCTCTAACAAGTTCAAGAGCTAACTCGTCCATGGCTGGCTTTCTTTATTTTACCTACAGATTATTTTTCCGGGTTTGTAGTTGACAGCCAAAACATGTACACTATCAGTTTTCGTTATCTTTCTGCCACATGCTTTTATTCTTTCTCATTCTGTCTATACACTGAGATTACATTTCTTTCTGCATCCAGAAATTATGTCGTTCAGTTCATTTTGGAGCGTAAGAACACATTCGCCACAGCAAAATTGACATCTCGGTTTGAGGGCAAGTACGTGCAACTATCTACACAGAAGTTTAGTAGCCATGTGGTTGAAAGGTGCCTTTTGGTTGCAAACAATGAACTCCGAGCAAAAATCATCCGCGAATTGCTATCCACTTCCTACTTTGATCAGCTGCTTCAGGACCCTCATGCAAACTACGTCATTCAGACTGCTCTACATGTCTCTGAGGTAATATATATATATATTATTCGACAAAAATCTCTCTTACTATTTATTTATCTTCCTGTACTCAATTCGCCTAAATTTTGCAATATCTAGGCTAAGTGGTCTTGAACTTGAACTTGTAGGAAACCACCCTTAGTTAATATTCTTCATATACAAATTTGTTGGGTAAGGTTGATGATCAAGTGCTGTTTTTGGTTTGGGTTTCAGAATCAGGGACGGCTGCGCATAACGTTGATCCAAGCTATTGAATCGTATCGTGCAATTGCGCGGAACTGCCCATACTCGAAGAGGATCTATTCCAATAAGCATCTGAGAAGATCGCACTCCTAAAATAATGCTGCTGCAACGGATGTTGTGTTCTTCCTGGTGGTATTTGCATTCTGCTCTCAGCAGCCAGCCAGCCATCTTAATTACAACATAAGACGCATTTCATTTTCATTTGTTCTGCATAAATTTAACTTGCTGTCGATGGCGACTTGAGTTGATGTTTTTGTCTTAGTCTCTCTTGTTTTCTTTTATTTTGAGTAAAGATGAGGCTGCTGCTGTTTTCCTGTTTAGGTTTGTTCTGTTTGGTGGCTATCTTAATAACATGGAGATACATTCATACATACTTACATCCATATGCATATCGTGTACTAACTAACTGAGACCATCTACAATGCACAAATTTTAAAAACTGTTTTTATATTTGTTCTTTTAAATATTCAAACAACTCAATAAATTTATCATGTTGCTATATATAATTATATATTATAATTGTACACGACCGTGTAATTTTCAGTTCAATTGTCACTGTCACGTTACCTCCGTTGCGGTTCACTTCTAATATAATTAAAATTTATATAAATATTTATCGAGTACGTTCTTTTTAGAGATTTTGTCTAAAATTTTACTGTTTACAAAAAAAAATTCAACTATTATAAATTCAAAATATTTTTTTTTAAAAAAATATAACAAAAAAAATAAAATTTTAGACCAAAACAAAAATGTACACGACAGAATTATACATTAAGTTTAAAAACTACTCCCTCCGTCAATTTTCTAATGTCCTAAGTGATATTTACACGTTTTTTTAATAATTAGTTTTTTTATTGTAAATTGACAAAATAGTCTTTTATTTTGTGTATAAATATAAAAAAGATAAATAAAGTAAAGGTGTTACGCACAAAAAATAATAATAATAATAATAATAATAATAATAATAAGGTATCCAGAGTCAGTCGGTGGGTTCTCAGTCGGTTGGTTCTCAATCAGATAAGCAAGTCAGATGGTCCGCGGTCGGGCAAGCAGGTCGGATTATCCGCAGTCGGATAAATGGGTCGGTTGATACAAATGTTGGCTGCTATGGGGGTCGGTCGAAAAAGGAAGTCGGGCGAAGAAAGGTCTGTTGATAGGTCAGACGATTGAAGAGACCAAATAGTGGTCGTTTGATGAGGCGACCAGTGAGTCTTTTGATCTGGCGACCAATTATGTATCTAGATTGGTCGGTTGGTCGGTCGTTGGGTTATGCGGTTGGCGAGGCGGTTAAAGACATGTGTCAATGAAAGAGGCAGTTCTGAGTTCTGTAACTGGTGGGAACGGTTGGTGAAACAGTGCGACGGTTCTGAACGTTTTCTTCAAAGAATATTTAAGGATTTGGATCATCATTTGGCAAGGCATCTTCAATCAACTTCAACAAGGCAAAGTCAGATTTGGGGATCACCACTTTAAATTTCAGTCTTTTATTTTCCAGTTTATTTTCTGTACCATACAGTGTTTAGAGATTCCTAATCTCAGGCACTAATTAATCAAGTTTAAGGATATTTTCTATATCTTTGAATTTTACTTTATTTTTGTTGAAAAATTACATCAACAAATTGGCGACCACAGTGGGAGAAAATTGCTGATCCATATGGCAAATTTTCAATTCCACAGTACAGCCGTTGGCTTTATCACGGCAGAAGAAGCTTCCCAACTACGGGCCGAATTGACAGCAGGTTTTACAGCAGGTTTTCGGAAAATGTACGACCAGCAGATAGCAAATCTGCAGGCAATACATGACGCAATGCAAAACTTGATGGAGCAATCAAAATTCATGTTGAATTCGGTTCCTGCACCGCCAGAAATGTCATGCCCCCAAACGGACAACGCCATTCCTGAGCATATACCCAGTCAGACAGACTGGAGACAGGACCAAACAGGAGGACAGGCCCGACCAGGGACGACCGAATGGACGGAGACAGGTCGGCAGGATCACGACGCCTGGACGGACCATGGTCGGGAAGACCACACCGACTGGACGGACCATGGTCGGGAGGACCACACCGAATGGACGGACCGTAGTCGGGACAACCACACCGACTGGATGGACAAAGGTCGGGAGGACCACGCCGACTGGACGAATACAGATCGGGAAGACCACGTCGACTGGACGGACAAAAATCGGGAGGACTACGTAACCTGGACGGATACAGGTCAGGAGGACCCCGCCGAATGGACGGATACAAGTCAGGAGGACCCCGCCGAATGGACGGACACGGGTCAGGTCGCCGACCATAACTTTTCAGGCGAGCAAAAGAATGACAGAACAACAGTGGCCGAAAGGAGGAATAAGTCGGACGGGAGTCTGAATACAATGGTAGTGCAAGATCGACCAACGTCCAGGCCAGCACCAGTCCGCGATAAATGGAGGTCGGGTCCAACGTAGCCTCAAAGGATGGAGGTCGGATCTGAGGCTGACGTAGCCTCGGATGCTAACCTACTAACTCCTAAAACATCATAAGAAATGATGCTTAGGAGTCTTGAGGAGGAGGCATGTTGTTACGCACAAAAAATAATAATAATAATAATAATAATAATAATAATAATAATAATAATAAGGTATCCAGAGTCAGTCGGTGGGTTCTCAGTCGGTTGGTTCTCAATCAGATAAGCAAGTCAGATGGTCCGCGGTCGGGCAAGCAGGTCGGATTATCCGCAGTCGGATAAATGGGTCGGTTGATACAAATGTTGGCTGCTATGGGGGTCGGTCGAAAAAGGAAGTCGGGCGAAGAAAGGTCTGTTGATAGGTCAGACGATTGAAGAGACCAAATAGTGGTCGTTTGATGAGGCGACCAGTGAGTCTTTTGATCTGGCGACCAATTATGTATCTAGATTGGTCGGTTGGTCGGTCGTTGGGTTATGCGGTTGGCGAGGCGGTTAAAGACATGTGTCAATGAAAGAGGCAGTTCTGAGTTCTGTAACTGGTGGGAACGGTTGGTGAAACAGTGCGACGGTTCTGAACGTTTTCTTCAAAGAATATTTAAGGATTTGGATCATCATTTGGCAAGGCATCTTCAATCAACTTCAACAAGGCAAAGTCAGATTTGGGGATCACCACTTTAAATTTCAGTCTTTTATTTTCCAGTTTATTTTCTGTACCATACAGTGTTTAGAGATTCCTAATCTCAGGCACTAATTAATCAAGTTTAAGGATATTTTCTATATCTTTGAATTTTACTTTATTTTTGTTGAAAAATTACATCAACAAAAGGTAAAAAAGTAAATTTTATGTATAAAAATAGAAAGAGGAGAATCATTTTTGAAGATTGCAAATACAAAAGTAGGACATTAGTTTGTGGACGGAGGGAGTATTATATTCTATTTATTTATTTTATTTGTATACATTAAGTTAAAAGGATCATTGTGTAATTATACAGGGTAATTTTTAAATAGTATTAATTTTATAGCATCATTTATATTTATTTTAAACTTTCATGCTGATATAGCTATTACTATAATATATATATATTTTGTATGAAAAAATATTTAATCTATTTTTTTTTTTTTGCTTTAAATATTTTAGTTTTCTATTTTTAAAATAAAATAATTATTAAATGTAACATTTTATATAAAAAGTAAGTATATATACTTATAACAAAAACTCATATAAAAAAGGTTTAATACATTTAAGATTTGTTCGTTTAATATTTTTTAAATAAATTTGTTATTTTTGATATAGAGAATTGTATTTGTAATATAATTTTTTTTTTCAGGTCACTTTGTAAGTATATATTTTGTTATCTTTTATTATTTAAATAAAAAATATTAATTAAAAGTATGATTCTACTCCGTATTACAAATACATTCACATTTATATTTATTTACATCAATATTTTGATAACAGTTTTAACATCATAAACATAGTCTTTACATATAAAAAAAATAGTATTATTAAAATAAAATATTTATTAAATTTCGTACAAAAAATAAATATGTACTTATAAAGTAGACAGAAGAGTATTACTCACTCCGTCCTATATCTATATATTTATTTGCTTTTTGCACGGAGTTTTAGAAATATTAGTATTATATTGAGATAAAGTAGAAATAAAAGTAAAAAAACTAAATTAACCCTATTAGTATTTATTGATATAAATGTAATGACATTTGTATAATATATTGTAAATTAGAAGGGTATTTATAATGTTAGATAGATAGTACAATTACTTAAAAAAAAGAAATGTATACTTTGTCATGGGACGAACCAAAATAAAAAAATGGATAAATTGTTAAGGGACGATAAAATACACATCTTATATATTGAATTAATGCATATCTATATTTATATTTATTTATAATATTTATGAAAAATGATGGCATTTAAAAGCATAATAAACTTGTCTTAGAATTTAGAATGGTTGTTTCATTCACATTCCTACAGTGAGTTCAGTTTGTTTATTTGATTATATATACTATTTTTTTTTAAGGTAAAATTGCTTATAACTTCCATGTGATTTCAAAATTCAGCGTAAAATCTCCCTGTATTTTAAAAATTGCATGGTACCCCTTATATTTTAAAAAAACGTTGCATGAAACTCCATCACCATGAAACTTTCCTCGTGTGATAAGAAGATAGTTTCCTATCTATATATTTTGCATGACAGGTGGGTTTTATGCAATATTTTTTAAAGTATAAGTGAACGTCATGCAATTTTTTAAAGTAAAATGGGGATTTATGCTGAGTTTCGAAACCACAAAGTGGTTTCATGCAATATTTTTTAAAGTATAAGGAGACGTCATGCAATTTTTAAAATAGAGGGGAATTTACGCTGAGTTTCGAAACCACAAGGGAGTTATGGGCAATTTTTGCGATTTTTAATATAGTAATAATTATAAAAAAAAATAAATATTAAATGAAGCATAACATTTTAGAAATAAAATTTAAAATAGAAATGGAGAAGGTGTATTTGTTTTGTGTTTTGGTTCAAATAAATATTTTTTATATATGGAGTATAAGGAATTATATAGGTAATGTAAAAATAATAAATATGTATAGTTTATTACTTCCTCCGTCCCACCTACCATGTCCA